TTATTTATTTATTTATTTATTTTTTTGCGGAACTGGGGATTGAACTCAGGCCCATTCCACTTGCCAGGGAAGCGCTTATTCCACTGAGCCATCTCACCGGCCCCTATATTTTTAAAATAAAATCAAGAATAACTATTCCTATGTTTCAGATTAGTCTTTTTTTTTTTTTTTTTGGCGGAACCAGGGATTGAACTCAGGCCCTCGCGCTCACCTGGCAAGTGTTTATTTTACTGAGCCATCTCCCTGGTCCCTACATTAGTCTTTAGATGTGATATTGGAAGGGCTGGCCAAGTAGCTCAGCAGCTTAAAGCACCTGCAAGCAGGCACAGGGGCCAGGGTTTTGATCCCTGGGCCTGCCATGCTTGTCCCACCCCTGGGGCACACCTGTAACCCAGCACTTGGGAGGCTATAAATAGGAGAATCGCTACAAATCTGATCTAATAGTGAGACCCTGAACTAGGGCTGGGTCTTCTTTTCTTTTTCTCTTTAAAAAAAAAAAAAAAAAAAGTGATACTGGATAAGTCACAGAGTCTAAACCCTTATCAAAGTGCAAAGTATGCTCAAAAAGTTTCTCTGGTGGTGAGCTGAAGGATGCTGGTCTCAATTTTTATTTCCTATGGTCCCTCGGTTTTCTTTTTCTTTCTTTTTTTTTTTTTTTCAGAACTGGGGATTGAACTCAGACTTTGTGCTTTATTCTGCTGAGCCATCTCCCTGGCATGGTCCCTCAGTTTTAATCATTTGTGCTCAGACTATTTTACATACACAGATTCTTCTTCAGAGCAATAGTATTACATTTAATCTTTGCAAGAAGTTAGTTTTTGGTATACACAAAGTATTTTTAGGTTATATACTATATTAAGAATATATTGTAGATGGAAATGATGACTCAAGTTTAAACTCAGTGTCCTTTTTTTTTTTTTTTTGTTAGTAGGCAGGGAACCCAGTGCTTTTACACTGAGTTATACCCCAGCCCTTTAAATATTATGTTGAGACAGGGGCCTACTAGGTTGGTAAGTAATTATTCAGGCTGTGCTTGAACTTGGAGTTTTCCTGTCTCAGCCTTCCAGAATGCTAGCATTATAAGAATGTATTACCATGCCTGGCTAGAAATTATCTTTTTCTTTTCTGTTTTCTTCTTTTTTTTGGTGGTACCAGGGATTGAACTCAGGATCTTGCACTTGCCGAGCAGGCGTTCATTTTACTGAGCTATCTCCTCAGCCCTAGAAATTTCTTCAAGTTCATTTGTAATACAAATTTAAATTTAGATTGTGGTGGTTATCAAGCTTTTAGTTTATTGCATTCTCCCTCCCCCTTTCTGGCTAAAGTCTAACTTGAAAAACAAAGTTTTATTTGCTATGTCTGATTCTCTCCCCCCCTCCCCCTTTTGTAATTTATCTTACCCTTCCCATGTCCCTTTGGGGGCACTGTCAAGTTGGTGATACCTCTGTTTTCACATGGTCAAATGTAGGCACACAAGATTAAAACCATTATTAACGTGGGAGAAGCTTAGAACCAGATTTTGGAACTTCTCACTGTTGACCTTTTAAAAATATTGATTATTTGATACATTGATCAGCAAAAACAAATTTACTGAGGGCTTGTTAGGAAGGAGATGAGCTTTTGAATGTTGTGTTGAAGACTTGGGAGTGTTATCTTCACCCTGGGAGAGGGGTCACTGTGCGTGTCTAGGGGTGTGCTGGCTGTGTTATGACAGTGTCTTACGGTAGAACGTGGTAGGTTAGCACTGTTAGAGTGGAAAGATTAGGCTTGGGACCCTTGATTAATCTGAAGATCACTGAAAATGAAACAACCAGACTTCCTCTGCCCCCTGATTTGATGCAGAGTAGGAAGGACACAGTGCTACAGACAAAATATTTCTGTCTGAAAACAGTGTTTGAGTGGATTGTTTCTTAAAGTGATACAATGCCACAAAGAAACAAATGGCCCAGTCCTGAATAAGGGACAGATAATGCTGTTTTGCTACACAGGCAGTGGCAAAGAAGGACCTTACAGAATGATTCATGATGATGAACAAGCTCATGGCACAGTCAGCTGATCTTTTTCATGTGTTCATCTATGGTTTCCCCTCCTTTCTAGATTATTTAGAAGCACATCTTAGGCCTTCTCTCAATTTTTTGCATACTAAAACATGTATCTCTCTAAGTTAACTGTCTTAGTTGGCCAGAGCTTCTTAACAAAATAGCATAAACCATGCGATTTAAACACAGGAACGTACTGTTGAGAAATTCAGGAGGCTGAAAGTCCTAGATGCTGATGTGTTGGCAGGTTTGCTGTTGCCTGAGAACCAAGAGAGGAGATGTTTACTTTGTGCTACAGAGGATTAACGTAGGGCTTTTATTGCTGAGCTTCAGGCTAGCCCTTCCTAAAATTAAAAAAAAAAAAAAAAAAAAAAAAGTATATCTCACTTATTCTTTCATTTACTTGAGGTACTGGGGAATGAACTGAACTACACTGAACAACATCCTTAGCCTTTGAGATTTTAAAATTTTGAAAGAGGGTCTTGCTAAATTTGTCTAGGCTGGGCTTGAGCTTGCAGTTTTTCTTTTTTGCCCTCCGACAGTTCTGGGATTAGGGCTTGTGTCACCATGCCTGCAATGATCATTGCTTAGATTTGGTATTTTATCGTTACAGGAAGGTGATATTGTAATGTAGCGTTACCATTTTTTCATTTGTCAGAATGCTTTTGTAAAGAGGAAGTTGTTCTCCATAGTTACTTGATTATTATATATAGTTTAAATTTAAAAGTGGCAGAGCCACTGCTTGGCTGCATTTTGCCCCCAGCCCATTTATTATCTTTTACAAATGTGGATTTCTTGGCATCCTACAGGAATGGCCTGTGAGTCTTCAGATGTGTAAGTACAAGCTGATACATTTACCATATCTGGGTTTCATTACTTGGATCATTCTTGTGTGTGCTTTTAGTATGAGTGTCACTCAGTACATTTTTGAAAGAATACGTGGTAGCATAACAAGTTGAATTATAACCATATGTCTCACCTAGAAGGGGACCAAGTAGTTTAGAAGGAGTTGTTCATAAACCAAGGAGATTACCAAATAGCTCAAGCTAAGAAAAAAAGCAAAAGGAAATGAACTGTGGGATGAGACTGAAGTTAGGAGTAAGGTTACAAGTCTCATCGTGCCCTACAGAGGCTTTGGATTCCTTCTCCCATTCTTTCCCCTACCATACTCTTTCCCTCTGTTTTCTTTTTCTTTTCTTTTTAATTTTATTCATTTCTGTGTGTGTATGTGACCGGCTCAGCCCACCAGGGGGCGGGGCTGGCTGGCATGTGGTGCTGGGGATTGAACCGTGGTCCTTGTGCATTAGCTGAGCTTGTTCTAAGTAGGTGCT